TGGAAGTGAATAGTAATGGATTCAGACAGTGCTGTGAAGAGGAAGTCTGAAAAGAAATCCTTTCTCTGAAGCATTTCTATTTGGAGGATATCTGATTATATATGTGTGTGGCTTCCACTTATAATACACCATGGTAAGTTAAGAGCCTTGGTGGCGCAGCAGACTAAAGCACTGTTAAGTAACACCAGCTGCCTGCAATTACTGCAAGTTCAAATCTCACCAGGCTCAAGGTTAACTCAGCCTTCCATCCTTTCGAGGTAGGTAAAATGAGAACCCGGTTTGTGGGGGCAATAAGCTGACTTTGTATAAAAAAAAGAACACCGCTTGGGAGGGGGGGGCGAAAGCAGGTATATACAAAAGTATGAAGGCTATTGCTTAACGCATTGTAAGCCACCCTGAGTCTCTGGAAAAGGGCAGCATATAAATCAAACCAATAAATAAATAAATAAATAAATAAGTTTAGGTTGAAAAGTGGTTAGTGTAAAAAGATATTGTTTTAAGTCCATAATGAATTCACATGGTAATTCTCCTTGTACTATCAAAGGTATGCTTCCATTGTCGAAAACCAGGCCATGGGGTTGCAGATTGTACAGCTGTCCTTGAAAGCCAAGACATGGGAACTGGAATTTGTTACCGATGTGGCTCTACTGAACATGAAATTAACAAATGCAAAGCCAAACTGGATCCAGCTCTTGGTATGTGCAATAACTATGGTTCTCAGCATGATAAATGTCACTAATTATGAGGGTAATATTGATTTAAATGTTAGACAGGGGTGGGTTCTACTTACCTTTACTACCGGTTCGCAACGGGATTGTGCATTTGCATGTGCAGATCGCCAATAACAGGATCCGGGGTGGTGGGCGGAGCCTCCTGCCGGTTTTACTACCGGTTCTTGCGAACTGGTCCGAACCAGGGGCAACCTACCACTGATGTTAGAATTATGATGATTTACAAAATCTTAATATATTTCCTTCATGACACAAGCTATATGAATTTCTTTCAGGGGAATTTCCATATGCAAAATGCTTTATTTGTGGGGAAATGGGCCATCTCTCAAGGTCATGTCCTGATAATCCTAAAGGGCTTTATGCTGAAGGTAAGCCCGCCCCTTTTTGAAATCCCATTTTCTTTAAAAAAATGGATTGTTGACATGCTTCAGAATATTTTTCTTATCTTGACAGCTTGAGCGAATGCAATTGCTTTATAAAGGAATGTGTTGTGTATATCTCCTCTTTTGATAAATTCTGCAAATTCTCTCTTGAAAAATTCTGTAAGAAAATACTTTACAGCATTATTTTACACAGCAGCAATATCCAGTGATCTTTGCCATGTTAGTTCTATTCCAAACAAACCCCCCACCCTTTAAAGTATCCTCTTTAAAGATTAGAACATATGTGTAGGTTTTATTTACCTTTTCAGATTAAAATTTTCTAAGCAGCAGCAGGAAAAAATTTGAAATTATCTTAATATAGCTGGAGAGTTAGAGGTTCATATCTGTATATTATCTTATGCTTACTTAGTCATCTTTTACTATATATTTAAATAATACGTGCCGGACCTGTTTGAAAAGTTACTTAGTAAAGATAATAAAAGCTGAATAATTTTAGTGAACTTTCAGTAGTACATTCTATTTATATTACATAGATTTTCCAGTAATGGAAATTTTAGAATGGGTGTTAGAACAATAATTGACAAAGCAATCCTGTTTTGTCAATCATCAATCCTGTGATGATTCTTTAACCTTTATCTTTAGAATGTCAGGGATTTTTCAGAATTTAAATAGGACAAATAAAGTGAACATTTTTTTTATTTATTTAGACTTCTATACCACTTCATAGTGCTTTACAAGCCTCTCTAAGCGGTTTACAAAGTTAGCATATAGCATATTGCATATTAGCATATTGCATTAGCATTAGCATTAGCATATTGCCCTCAACAATCTGGCTCCTCATTTTACCCACCTCGGAAGGATGGAAGGCTGAGTCAACCTTGAGCCGGTGAGATTTGATCTGCTGATCTGCTGAACTAGCAGTCAGATGAAGTAGCTGCAGTACTGAACTCTTAACCACTGCGCCACCTCGGCTCTAACTGCTGCGCCACCAATTTTGATTTGCATTTCCTTTCTTAAAATGTTATTAAAAGATTTACAAAGAACATAAACACCAAGAATAAAAGAAGCAGAGAAAAAAAAATAAGAAAAAGCCTTTTCAAATTTCAGAAAAAAGAATTGGGTAAAATTCTGATTAATTTCGATTTCGGGAAAGAATTTAATTTGGCAAAAAAATAAAAAAAAAATAAGCAGAAAGATTTTAACCAGTCTTTTCAAGAAACGAAATCTTAGTAAATTTAACCTCCTTAGTCAAAGTGAACACCTATCAGGAAGGGGTTTTCGCCAACTACCTCATTTGTATCCTTTCCCTTCTCTTTTATATTTGAAGATGCCCAGCTAGAGGATGAAGTAGGTGGAGCTGTAGTAGATATAATTGTTTAAATAGCTAAGCAATGGAGAAGAATGGGCTGGGTTAAAGATACAGTAAGGCACATCTTAAAAGTTCACTTGTTTTTCTTTACTTTGTGTGTCTGTGATGGTGGGGGACACATCATGGAGAGAGGATATCAAAATAAGTAGATAAAAAGAAAAGGGTCTTCCCAATCTTGGAAGCTTCACAGAATTACACCTGCTATTCAAACATAATGTGTCTTTATCCAGCCCTTATTAGGCATAGAATCGCCACAGATTTTACTGTCTGTCTGAACTACTTCCCTTTTCTCATCTGTACATGATAGATTCTAATCTACAGTTTCCTACAACTGTTTATGGTCCACTACTAATTAAAAATAATTATGAGATCTTATGCTAATTTAAAGGCTAGCAACTTTTTCTGTTAAAGTAGAATATATTGTAATTTTCATTGGCAGATACATTTTTAAAAAAAATCAATTTCCCGCCATTACATTTATGCTTCATTAAAAAAATAAAGGTACAATTAATATACATGGCAGAGTGCAATTCATATATATATTGCATTAAATTAAATTATTTATATTTATGCTTTTATAAGGAGGGTCTTGTCGGATTTGCGGATCTGTGGAGCACTTTAAAAGGGACTGTCCAGAAAATCAAAACTCAGGTGAGAAGCTTAGAATTTCTGTTTATTAAGAAGTCAGAGTTATATGTATAGCCAGCAGCACAAATAGGCTGAGGAACAGTTTTTATCTGTGGGCTGTCAAGACTCCTGAATGAGAAATAACACCATAACTACGTAGTATGATGGACTGCAGGGCCGGCGCAATGTGTAACATGTTCACACTGGTGCAATAGGATTGGGTGTTTTGTTAATATGATTTATTGGGTTAGGGATTTTTTGTCTTCACTGTGAGTTGTATTGTGTTGGGGAGGTGCACTGAGGGAACTCAACCAATCTCATTGTACATATGTTGTGCGCTGACAATAAAGATTTGAATTGAATTGAAAAAAAAAGAAGAAGTCAGAGTTATATGTAGAGAGCTTTCTGTAATGAACTCTGGCTAAATAATTACAAAACTCACTGAACCTTTTTTTCAGATTGTATTGATAAGTTTAATGTGTTATCCAATATTATCCAATTTTTAACAGGTCATTTGATAATCTATTTAAATATGTTCTAAGACGTATCAGCTGTTACAGCTTGAGTACAACACTCACAATTCTTTCTATATATACAGGTAGCCCTCAACTTACAATTCATTTAGTGACCATTCAAAGTTACAATGCCAATAAGAAAAGTGACATGACTGTTTTTCACACTTGTGACCGTTGCATCAGCCCCATGGTCATATGATCAAATTTCAGATGCCTGGCAACTGATTCAGATTTGACGGTTGCAGTGTCTTGGGGTCATGTGATCACCTTTTGCAATCTTCTGACAGTCAATGGGGAAGCCAGATTCACTTAACAACCATGTTACTAACTTTACAACTACAGACTCACTTAATTGTGGCAAGAAAGGTAATAAAATCGGGCAAATTTCACTTAACTGTCTCACTTGACAACAGAAATTTTGGGCTTAATTGTGGTAATTAAGTCTAGGACTACCTGTTTATATATTTTTTGGCACTGAAGAATTTCAGAAGTGAAATATAATGTTGATAGTTATAGTATCATGAAACTTATTAGCCACGCATTATGGAATTCTTGTTACAAATTCTTGGAGTCATCATCTACATCAGATTTATTTTTGAGTAGAAAGAATAAAATTGGAATAAAATAAATAGCATTGTAGCTTTTGGCTTATCAATTGTGTGTAAAGGCTGGAAATGTTAGAAAGTATCAATACTGATATTTTTAATCAAGTTGAATTCTTAGGTTTATTATAATTTGATCTAAATTTAACATGAACAAAAATAAAAAAAAATATGTACTCACTATTGCAAACAATTAGTTGTACAAATTACTGTATTATATCCTAGAATAAAAGACAGTTGATTTCTGATACATTTTTTCTCCTCCCCCCGCCCCCCCAAAAAAACAGATCGAGCAGTAACTGTTGGTCGGTGGATGAAAGGAATGAGTGCAGATTATCAAGAAGTTCTAGAAAACCCTGGACCACAAAAAGGAAAACCAAAAGTACCTAAGATTGTTAACTTTTGACCATACTTATTTTCTGTACTTCTCAACATATGACTTAAAATAAAAACCATAAGCTTTTGGAGATCCCAAAAGTACACATTGTCTTCTGAGTATTGATTTAGTGATAAAATCTAGCCTAAATGGAAACAGCCTGGAGATGAATGAAAAGCCTTTCAATAGGATATGCTAGAAATTGTTTGGTTGACCCATTAGCTTTGAACTGGAAGGAAATCTTTCCAAATATTACATAATCACTTGTCCTTTGCTCAGTACAGGTAACACCCAATTTAGACCACAACTGAAATTGGAATTTTGTTCTCTCAGTGATGTCATTAAGCGAATATTTGCTTATGAAAAATGCAATTTCTAAATAAATGATGGCTAGAACTTAATGTTGTATAAACTTTATTATATTGATCAGATATTATAATATAAACTTATAATTAGTCATTTTTATTAAAGCTAACGTTTTAAGTCACCTGATTTATTATACAGAACTTGTGCCAAAGTGACTTGCACAGAAATACAGTTGCAAAATTGTGAAACATAACTATGGTTCAGACTCCTAATACATTATAATAAATAGCAGATTTAAGTTCATTTTAAAATAAACATTTGCATCTAAAATATTTAAAATGTAATATTATAGATTGCATATACAAGGATTTTTGTAAAATTTAGAAAATGGTTAGATGGACATTCAGTTAGCCTTGGATGATACTGCAATTGTCATGGTGATGATTTCAAATAAGTAGATGGCAATTGCTTTGTTAGATTGAAAGTTCATAGTTTTCAATGATTTTTATCATTTTCAGTACCGTTTTGGTGCATTAAATGTAGCTCATTTTGTTGCTCTCTGATTCTAAGAACTGGATGCACATAGATGCTATATCTTCTATTGATTCCCGCAGACAAGCAAGGTTTCCAGCAAAGTGAGGCATGATATTATGTACATCATGGATGAAGACAGAAATCTTTAAAATATATAGACAGTCATTGTGATTTAATCCATGCTGTAACCAGCACTAAAGTCACATTGCACTAAATATGGAAGATTCTAAATTTCATATGGGTGCGTGGCTTTCTAAACACAACAAGCATATTCGTTTCAATCACTTCCTAAGGGCTCCATTTTTAGAACACTAGTGTTCATTGGAAGGCCAAATTTATGTTTTATGTTTAGATATAAAAGTTCATTCATGATCAAACAGAGGGTTCAGTCCACCTAATCTCAAAAGATTTTGTGATGAGAGGAGTGAATGAAAGGAAATTTAAATATTTCTGCACCCCAAAAAACAACTAATTCACAGAGATGCTACTTGGGAAGCTATTAAGCTTCTTTTCAATTAAAATGTTTTTCAAGTTGTATCATCCCCTTATTTTTGTAACTTGTAAACTAATATATAAATATCTCAGGTATTTTTGTAACAGTTCTAAAAGCGATTAAAAGGAAAATTTATTTGTCATTTTGATTGGACTTCTATATAAAATCATGAAGATGGTTTAAAGAAAAAACATGATTGTGTGTCAAATACTTCAAGAATCAAGTCTAGTTCATAGTAGACTTGGTGAATATTTCCAATGTAATCACCAAGAGTGTATATGGAAATTTTGAAAAAAAACAATACTGGTGAGAAATAGACAGGAATTGAAAATGTACGCTCAGCATTTTCCTCTCTCCATTAGAAAAATTTCTTCAGGTGAAAAACAGAATCATAGCTAGATGTAATTACCAAAATTTACAAAAAGATGGCATGTAACTTCAAGCCACTTACCAAAGAGGAATCCTCATGAGAGTGGATTAGGAATCCAGCACACTGGATTTCATTTTGGTGGTAGTTCTGATGAGCAGGCAGAGTAGCTGTTACAGCAATTGACTTCACTGCTATTATGTAAGGATCTCTAAATTGAATAAGTGTAGCGTTATGATCATTAAAGGACAAAAAAAAAAAAAGTCAGTTTCTCTCTCCATTTCTACATGTTTCCCTAAAAACACCTACTGCTGCTCAGGACTGCATCTTGAAAAGTGGCAGCATTGAATGCCTCTATAATGCATTGCTAAAGAAATGATTACATGAAAAATTAGGTATGCAGTTATAGCCAAAAGACTGGTTTGCTGGGATCGTACCCATGGGCTCATCAGAATTCCAAAAGGTGGGACCAAGACTCTAAGAAATGCTAAGACATTCTATCAATATAAACAAGGCAGGGGTACTATTCAGCAGGTTCTGACAGGTTCTGGAGAACTGGTAGCGGAAATTTTGAGTAGTTCGGAGAACCAGCAAATACCACCTCTCGCTGGCCCCAGAGTGGGGTGGGAATGAAGATTTTGCAATATTCTTCCCCCAGGAGTGGGGAGGGAATGGGGATTTTGCAGTATCCTTCCCCTGGAGTGGGGTGGAAATGGAGATTTTGCAGTATCCTTCCCCTGCCACGCCCACCAAGCCACGCCCACAGAACCAGTAGTAAAAAAATTTGAATTCCACCACTGAAAGGACTGTTTGCAATGCACATAAACAGAGAAATTACCACAGACACATACATAAACACACTAAATATATTTTTTTTACAAATTCGATACTTACTCTGTTTTAGAAGGTTCCCTTTGAGAGACAAGAATTAAAACACTGGGTTTATTTCCATTAGCAGATGCTGAGGATGTAATGTGGTATATTTTGTCCTCTTCAGTCACACACTCCATGACTCTACAATTTCTACAAGCATATAAGGCATATAGAAATGGGTTTAGAGCTTTGGGTATCATTGAAAAGTAATTCACAGACATTATGTAACCTTTGGATCTCAATTTGTAGAAATCAGTTCTATTTCAGGTTACATCTGTTGAAGCCTTTTTTGTTTTTAAAGAAATAAGGATGAAAAACTAAAGAGAGATTTCTTTTTACAAATCCAATCTTATTAAACTGACTAACCAGTTCTGCTTTAAAGGGTTGGGGGTTTTTTTGCCTTATTTATTTATTTTACTATTACTGGGCCTAGCTGCTAGGCTGGTTAAGGAACTGTTGATTTATTCCTGAGGTTTTAGATGATGATGATGATGATGATGATGATAATGATGTACCGTATTTTCCGGCGTATAAGACGACTTTTTAACACATGAAAATCTTCTCAAAAGTCGGGGGTCGTTTTATACGCCGGGTGTAGTTCTCCTGTAACCAGGCAGACCAGCCCGAAAGGCTCTGACGAGCCTTAAATGGCTCTGGCGATCCCAGCTCTGGCGATCCCAGCTCTGACAATCCCAGCTGAGTTCCCTGCAACTCAGCTGGGATCGCCAGAAACCACGTAAAAGGGAAAAAGTTTTTTTCCCTTTTACTCTGAGGATCCCAGCTCTGACGATCCCAGCTGAGTTCCCTGCAACTCAGTTGGGATCGCCAGAAACCACGTAAAAGGGAAAAAGTTTTTTACCTTTTACTCTGAGGATCCCAGCTGAGTTCCCTGCAACTCAGCTGGGATCGCCAGAAACCACGTAAAAGGGAAAAAGTTTTTTACCTTTTACTTGAGGATCCCAGCTCTGACGATCCCAGCTGAGTTCCCTGCAACTCAGCTGGGATGGCCAGAGCCGTGTAAAAGGGAAAAAGTTTTCCCCCTCCAGCTTGCTTACCTCAGCTGCTAATCGCAACGCTTGCCTTGCTTTGCTTGCTTGAATCTATTCAGGCAAGCAAGCAACTCCCTGCCTGCAATCAAGCAAGGAGTTAGTTGTGGACTTCAACTCCCAGAATTCCTCAGCCAGCAAAGCAAAGCTGGCTGAGGAATTCTGGGAGTTGAAGTCTACAAGTCTTAAAGTTGCCAAGGTTGGAGACCCCTGTTCTATTGGGTAAGATTTTTCCCCTTTGGGAGCTTTAAAAAAAATAGTCAATTGGGGTTTTTTTAGTTGTTCTTTTTTAGACCTAGCCATTTAGGAAGCCCTTTAGGAAGTTTTAAATTTAGCTTTCATATAAAAATAAAAATAAAATAAAATAAAATAATATTTGTGCAGCTTTCTGAGATTTAGTGTGTTTCTGTAGTGTTTCACTCCAACTACACAAACACACAAAATCTCACAAAGCTGTATGTGGAATTTTGTGTGTGTAAAGTGTGAAAGTTGGTTTTTTGGACTTTTTGTGGCTGTGTGAGGTTCCTGCTTGTTGCAGGGGCCATTTTGGGTCTAGCACAGCTGCTTTTACATTGTGGGTGAGCCAGTTGTGTTGTGTGTGTTTAGAGTGTGAAAGTTTTTTGGGGGGGCTTTTTGTGGCTGTGTGAGGTTCCTGCTTGTTACAGGGGCCATTTTGGGTCTAGCACAGCTGCTTTTACATTGTAGGTGAGCCAGTTGATGTTTTTTAATTTTTATTTGGTGTGCATTGGAAGAGGGGCAGTCTTATATGGCAAGTATAGCCCAAACCCTATATTTTAACAGGAAAAGTTGGGGGTCGTCTTATATGCCCAGTCGTCTTATACGCCGGAAAATACGGTATTTTGTTTTTTCTGTGTGCTGAAAAGAATACTTTGGCCCCTGAGTGTAAATTAACAAAATACAATAAATGCCTTGGAGAGGTCTCTCAAAACCCTGAGATCTAGTTGATCTGGATCTAGAGACTTAAATTAATTCACAATAGCCAGATGTTTCCTATCCCTTTACTTGCCTTGGATTGCCACTTAATCCATTTGGATGCAGTTCCATAATGGAAACAAGGCTGAGGCAAAATAGGAGTGGAAGGCCTTAGCTCCTTCTCCAGTATCTTATACTGTATGATCATTTTTTCAAGCAGTGGATCCTGCCTTTCCTTTTCCCTTCACTTCCGGTTCCTTTTGGCTTGTTTCTGAGTCCAAGCTCCTTTTAGCTTTTCTGAATTTTCTTTCTGCAGGCATTTGCTGCTCACGTGCCCCATGGGGGATTACAGCCTAATATGTCTCTACATTTGCTAAAACTGTCTTCCCTAAAAGATCCTTTGTCTTTTTTAGATTTCCTTCATCATAAAATGTTTATAGACTTGGATTGCTGTATATTTCAAATTAAAATATTGCTTTGATTTCACATATCACACTCAATCTTCTTTATTTCTATTCTCATTAAGCTAATCCACATTATTGAAGATTTTGTCAAAATGCCAGCTTTTTAAAAAAAATTAAGGCTGTAAGAACCGATACTAAATGAAAGATATAAAAATATGCTTACGAGTAGTATTTAGTCCAATGCTTATGGAGTGAGAAGTTAGATAAAAGGAAGAATGCCAATTTCGAAGGTATCTGTATTTGCATTTCAACCTTGATTGACAGAGCATTCTCCTCCTCCAGAATGTACATTTTTGTCTAGGGAAAAATGTATTTTTAATGCTGAATTATGCAATCACACAAACTAAGGTTACAAAATGATTTAGTTTTAAAAAGCAATCTCCAAATAAGTACACACCATTCCCTGAAAAGGAGTAAGTCAAGTATCATACAACAATAAAATATAACATTGTGACAAATAATTCAGTTTCAATAAAATAAATTTAGGTCAGAACCAGATGTATAGATTGAAGAATTGTGCAAAGAGAATAAATAAATAAATACAAGAATAGCATTCAGTGAGAAGTAGCAGTTTTACCTTGATAAAAAAACTGTTAACAATAGAAGGAATAATAGCATGCGTAGATATGGAGATGAAAATATGAAGATTTCTATTGGGAATAACCTGCTCCCTATGATTTGACTAACCTTTAAAATAGTCTGCTGAAGACTTCCTTTATATTCTCACTTATGAATAGGAATACAAACCTATCACCAATACGTTCTTTTATATGGGGGAGAAACTAAAAAATTGAAAAGGTTTTGTCAAAAGAAGATTTTTGAGCTTTTAATAACAATAGCACACTGGCTGGGGAATTCTGGAGTTGAAGCCCATAGATCTTAAAGATGTAATGCTTCAGAAACTGTCTTGGAGACTAGTCTCTGGAATCAGCAACAATTCTGTCTTATCTGAATTTGGCTTCGCCCTATTCTCCCCCATCTATTCCCATCAGGTTTGAAGACACAGGCAAGCTCCTAAGAGCCATGGTGGCGCAGTAGTTAGAATGTAGTACTGCAGGCTACTTCTGCTGACTGCCAGCTGACTGCAATTTGGCAGTTCGAATCTCACCAGGCTCAAGGCTGACCCAGCCTTCTGAGGTCAGTAAAATGAGGACCCAAACTGTTGAGGGGAAATATGTTGACTCTGTAAACCACTTAGAGCTCTAAAGCACTGTGAAGTGGTATATAAGTCTAAGTGCTATTGCTAATGGGAGCTTAACAGGAAAGGAGAAGTACTGCTTCAGCATATACAAATACTTTCCAACAACTTCATATATGTATTAAATCACAGGAGAGCCAAGACAATTTTCTCCCTCTTGTGAAAATTCCTAGGGGGCTAAGCAGATGTCTCATAGTAGCACCTAAAAAGCATACCCCACCCCTGCAACTCTGAGCTCATTCAAACACTCCAAAAGGATTATAGCATGAGAAGCTACTGAGAGACGAATAAATACTAACGGGGCCATACCACTTCCATTAGAGCAGCCAAAACTATCTCCGTGCCAAGTCTGGGTTTAAATCCAGACATAAAATCAGCATCCTTTAGGAATTCCTGACATTGCAGTGACTTTGTCACAAGCTTGTCTAAATAGAGAATGCAGAACTTTAGTTTACAATTGTTTGTCTTTTAATGTGGTGGGAAGCTTCAAGAGCTTCAAGAAGAATTAATCATCTCGGGGATCATTAGTAGAATGAAGTTTTATAAGCCAAATCAGGATGTGATCTAATAGGCAAGTAACAGCACTAACCTATTTTATTACTTTAACAGATATCACAGAAATATTGAAAAAGCATCTTAATATGTAATTTACAGATTCCAAGTACTCATTTAATGGGCAAAAAATAATTTTCTTCCTTAAACTAAATATAACTTATGTTATCTACTTATTCGTTTGTTATGTTTAGTAATCATAGTGAACTGTGAATACTGTGAATACCGTGCTGTGAATATGGGAAGACCCGTATTTAATTTTACTCTTATATATGAATCTCTGTATTGAATACACTAGAACAGGGGTGAATTAAAACCCACCCCTGCACTAGAACTACCTACCTCAACTTGATCCTTCACACATGCAATATGTTGGGATTTCAATATGCACTAGCCAAGAAGGGTAGTATTTCTAACCTCAACACATATCAAGAGCATTAAATTGGGGAAAATTATTCTGAAAATTCTGATCAAACTTCTGCCACTGTTTCCTGCACTGTTTAGTCTTCTACTAACATGAAAGTTAATGTTATTTATTTTATTTTATTACCAAATATTTTATGTCCTATACTTAGCAAATAAAACTTTCCCCCCAAACTATATAAATAAGACTAATGAGGATTGTAGTACAATATATCAACAATTATGTTTTGTTGATTATCTTTAACTTTTTAAGGTTAATTCTACAAAAGTGAAAGTCTACAGCAACCCCTAAACAATTATATCTTATGGACTGCAAAGAAATTACTTTGCATTACTCTATCTTGACTCCATTATCTCGGGGTGAAATGCTACCGGTTCAGTCCGGTTCTCGCGAACCGGTAGTAACAAATGTGGCTGGCTCAGGGAACCGGTAGTAAAAATGCTTTAAAAAGTAAAAAAAAAAAGTTCCGAGGAGGCGCAGCACAGCTGATTGTCACAGCTGATTGTCTGAACTTTTTTTTTACTTTTAAAGCATTTTATTACTACTCATTCGGGCAATAGGTAGTAAAAAAAATGCTTTAAAAAAGTTTTAAAAAGGTTCCGACAATCAGCTGTGACAATCAGCTATGCCGCGCGCTCCTTGGAACTTTTTTTTTTTTTTTTACTTTTTAAAGCATTTTTTACTACCTATTGGGGGAAGTCTGTTTTTGCTCCCAGGAGGCTTCCCTGAAGCCTGCTAGGCCAAAAATGGGGATGGGGTTGGGGCATCTGTTTTTGCTCCCAGGAGGCTTCCCTGAGGCCTGCTAGGCCAAAAATGGGGGGGGGGGGAGAAAGGAAGAAAGAAAGGGAGGGAGGGAGGGAGGGAAGAAAGGGAACGAAAGAAAGAAAAAGAAAGGGAGGGAGGGAGGGAGGGAGGGAAAAAGGAGAGGAAGGAAGGACCACAAACCTGGCACTAGACACAGCTTCAGAGGATACCTTGAAAGAGCACAGCAATCAATTCAAAGTTGGAAGGACCTGGAGGTCATCTAGTCCAACCCCCTGCTCCAGCAGGACATTGTTAGTGAGTTTCTGTCTTCTGACCCCCAGTCACATGACTACATAGCCACGTCCACCCAGTCACATGACCCCACCAAGCCATGCCCACAGAACCGGTAGGAAAAATTTTTAGATTTCACCATTGCATTGTCTTAATGTAAACATAAATAAATCCATGCCTATAGACAGTATTTTCTATAGTTGCTGAAATAATGTGATGTTTCTTGGTCACATCATTTTTCAGCCTTTATTATTCCTAACTGATAGGTATTTAAAAGACACATTTTGAATGTTGAATATATAGTAATGATCAATCATGTTTTGTTTTGCAATATATTCTTGGTAAGTAAATCTAATGGGAAGGGGTACAGTTCTGTAATTCGATGGACAGTGTTGCAGTTCTCTACAGAGTAGGAGATCGGTCAGAAGGAAGGTAGTGAATCTTTTGTGACTGAGAGACTTTTGTTGTTAGCACCACGGAAAATAGGAGAAAACAAAAAAGAATGATTAAGGGAGAGAAAAGAGACCTGTCTGCTTCTGTGATGCATGTAATCTCCTTTACGTCAATTCTCATGTCTTCAGTTATCTTTACTCCAAGTAAAAGGATTTTTTTAAAAAAAGAAACAATTAAGACATGCACACAATTCTTAAAACTATTGTAAGAAAATACATGGATAGTACCTACACGATTTAGAGTCATACATATCTCCCATCCAGGCTTTGCTGCCAAGAAAGTCAATGCTGTAACATTGCTTTTGATTATGAGTGACTGAAATTTAAAACAGATAATTAATTGCAAGCCAGTCAGAAAATATAGGGTTCCCCGCCCCCCTCTTTACAGTGTTGAGAAAGTTAGAGATCGAGATCTTTTGAGATCTTTTAAATGATGAAGGCAATACAAATCTCTATCTCTAAAACTCTATCGGTTTCTCTGATAAATTAAACATACATATTTGACAGGACACTCTTTAAGTTGCAATCTTGTTGATATATGACAGTGCCACGCTAAAAAAGCGTATAGTAAGTAATGGACTAAATCTGAACCCAAAGAACATGCTCAGAATCAAATTTGACTGAATTCAACGCGATAGAGCTAATTTAAAAAAGTATAGAATTGCCACAATAATTTGCACAATTAGCACATTAGGAATATGTATAAAAAATCCTGATACAGACTTACATTACATACATATACAGGCATTACATACCTCTGATGGAAGATTTTCCTTTCCATCACATACTCATAAAATCAGTGCTATAAAACACAATTGCTGCCCTCTCTGCTATCAGCATTATATAAAACCTGTTAATTTTAAAACAATTCTGATAATAAGTAAACCAAGTTTGGTGGGACAAAAGAATATTCCAAAAACATAATACTTAGCAGTAGATTTTTGCTGTTTTGAAAAAAAATAAAATAAATCAGGGTTGGCCAGCCTTAGGGCTTCTAAAAACAGCTTCATTTTTCGTGCTTCTCAAGAATATGCCATCTACTTTTCTTTCTTTTTCTTTTTTACAAAAAAGATTTCCATGGCCTTAAAAATGCCAGAAACAGTGTGTGTGGGAAGAAAGGCATAGACTTCTAGCCCTGGAACTTCCTGTAACATCCCTTCCACATTCCTTGCAGCTGAGGCCAAAAATTTAAAATTGGTCCTAACTTTAAAAAAACTGCTCATCCTGCACTAAATGATCCAATTACTTGATGGATATCAATGTGCAAATAATATAAATAGTACCTGGTGGCTAATGTCCCAGAAATCAGGTGTGAAATTGTTTTCTTTCTTTAAGAGAGCATATCTCCTGAAGGTAATATACACAAGTGGAAAGAAAGCCAAAAGTATATTAAGGAAATACATGGATTTCAAAGAACATTTTACACTTTCAAATAGGTTTAAACTACCCAAACCAAGTATTTTTAAATTACTGTTTATAAATGTTAATTTTGTTTACATTTACAAATGTGATGAGCAATCACTGTAATAACAATCATTGAAAAATACAGAACTGTGATTGCTAAAACGTACCTTGTGGTGATAACTAAATTCCAGCATTATCCTTTCACTGAAATATTAAATCCAACATGCAAGGTATGGATAAGGCTTCTAGATTTTAATGAACACTTGTAGTAATAAAGATAACTATCTGGTAAAACTGGAAGCATTACAAAACAGGAATAGGTATTTTTCCCCTTTCACTTACAATCCCGTACACTGGAATATGTTCCTGAATCTGTTCTGCTCCTTCATTCCAAAATATTTTCCATACACCTATCAGGAATATCCCTCAAACTGAATATTTGTTTGATATTTCATGAATCAAGTAGTCATTTCTGGATGAACTGAGAAATAACAGTGATTCCACTATAAATAAGTTATTAAATTTATGTAATCTTTGAGGCTTATTTTTTACCTGAATAATCGAATTTTCTTACGTGCAATAGCTCCATGGTACCTTCTTAAGCCATCCTCCAAATGAACAAAGCAGGTAAACAAAGAATTAGCTATAATATGTGAACTTTTCTTAAAAAACAATATTAGTTAAATTAATGTAATTATACTTCATTTTAAGAATAGCTGACAGGTCATGTAACAAATTGTGTGTGACATAAACATTACAATAAAACAAAGCAGGGGATGAAAACAACTATTTGAAGAAAATATGTAATTAAACTATGAAGCACTCTGAAAAGCTTAAGGCCACACTATAATTAATAAAACAAAATTAATTAGCTCTTTTTCACTGGCCTAAATGATTTTCCAAGTAACATTTAATCTAAAGCACTTTAGAGTCAATGCCTCACATAGAATTCAAATCAAGAAATCACTTTATTTACAGTATATCTTAATTTCTTCTGCTATTGCTGCAATTATAAAAATCAGTAAAAAATAATCTTGCTTTATCTAGTCATTAGCTATTGTCTTCCTTTCCAGTTGAAAAAGAACTCACCTTGGTCATGGAACTAATTCTGGGAATAAGAACATTTCCATGTTTATTGATAGCATTGAAAATAAGAAAGGCACTGTTAATATGCCGTGCTTGACCTTTGGCCCATTCCTCACAATTGTATGCTTCAACCCGAACTCCAACCTCAATACTGAAAAAAAGGTTTTTATTTAGTTTAAAAATGTATTGAAATCTGCAGCAATGATTTATTAGTCAGTAGAATGCAATAATCTTGTAACAACTGGTTGAAATAGATAGCTTAAACAGAGAATGAAAGAGAATATGACATTATTTTTCAAATGCAAAGAAAGCAGAAGATAGGACAAGTTAGAACAGGTTTCAGTTACAGTAGAATTGGTGTTAAATGTCCATTCAGAGAAATGAGAAAGCTCTGTTTGAAGAGAAGTGATAGACTATCTTTTGTGGAACCTCTTCAGACAGAAGCTCAACAGCCAGGTTTTAGAGATAGCCTCACTGGATTTCCTATTTCAAGGAAATGATTGGCTTAGATAACCTAACACATCAAGTTAGGTTCAAAAACCAAAGTTAAAAAACTTGATTTAATACAAGCCAGATTAATTTGTAAAGGGGAAAGAGCCACATTGCTATTGAAAATAACTGGGGGTTACAAAGGAATAGCTGATGTACCAAGTAGTAGCTGTTGGTGACTAAAAGTGTGATCGCAGTGATGGAACTGGCATTCTTGCTGAGACTTGAAGATTTTGGTGGTGCCCAGCAGCATCCTTTGGGGCTGCAAAATTGGCAGCAGTGAATCCTTTCTGGCAGTGGATCCAATTTGGCAGAAGTGGATTTGTTGAGTTTTCAAAAGGCATGAAAGGGCCACACAAGGCAGCTTGGCAGGCTACACGTGGCCTGCGGTTTGAATGTTGTGCAGGCCTGATTGAATGTGATGTGTGAAGTATTGTTTTCTGATCATCCAAGTAATAGGTTGTTTGAATAAAGAAGTAAATAAGTTGTTGTACAATATGATACAAATCTCACTGAAGCTACTTTGGAATAAAATTGCTCAGAATTTAAAATCTCTAATTCATTAGTATTAATTATTTGAATATGCAGAAGTATATTTCATGTAAATGGATGTTTGCATTATCTGTCCTTGTGCTTTGTCTCTTTTCTTTTTCTGTTATTCTTTTAAATACCAAAAACTTCCATGTAAATGGATTTTGTTATCTTAAAAATATATATCATCGGACCGGGGTATTTACGAGACCGCCTTCTGCTACCAACAGCCTCTCACCGACCAGTACGCTCCCATAGAGAGGGGCTCCTCAGGGTGCCGTCGGCCAAACAGTGTTGACTGGTGGCCCCCAGGGGGAGAGCCTTCTCTGTGGGGGCACCTACCATCTGGAACGAGCTCCCCCCAGAGATACGGAAGATCCCGGACCTGCACACGTTTTGCCGTGCTCTCAAAACTTTTCTATTTCAGCAAGCTGGCCTGGCCTAACTCCCCTCTTTTAAATTTTTTAATTTTTTTAATTCGTGACTTTATAAATTGGGTGTTTTAATCTGTGTTTCGGCCAAAATATTTAATAATTTTAAGGGATTTTTAATATTTGTATTATCTGTATTTTATCTTGGCTGTTCACCGCCCTGAGTCCTTCGGGAGTAGGGCGGTATAGAAATTTGATTAAATAAAATAAATAAAATAAATATCAGAGAGAGACAGAAAAATATGGTATAATGAATATAGATTCCTGCAAATCTTTCTAACTACTGATTTCCTTCCCAAAAATCATTGAATCATTTTCAATTACAGATAGTCCTCGACTTACAACAGTTCATTTAGTGACCATTCAAAGTTACAAAGGTGCTGAAAAAAGTGACTTATGACCATTTTCAGACTTACAACCTTAGCATCCCCATGATCATGTGATCAAAATTCAGATGCTTGACAACTGGTTCATACTTATGACCGTTGCTGTGTCCCAAGGTCATGTGATCACCTTTTGTGACCTTCTGATAAGCAAAATCAATGGGGAAGCCAGATTCATTTAACAACCATGTTACTAACAACTGTGGCAACAAAGGTCATGAAAATTCACTTAACAAATGTCTCACTTAACAGAAATATTGGGCTCAGTTGTGGTAGTAAATCGAGGGCTATCTGTATATCAATTAAAAAGATCAATTACATCCAAAAAGATGTAAACCTACAATTGTACTTGATAAAATCTATTTCCTTTGTAAAATATTTCATGTTTTATAGTATGTGAATACATTATGTTTGGCTCCATGGTTAAATAGTGACATAGCTTCAATAATTTACATACCTCTTTAATCCTTTCTATATTTAGAAGCAGAATTAATTTTGCAAAATATGCACATTTACTTAACAGCAGGAATAATTACTTTTTTTAGGCAGAATACTTTAATCTATCTGGCTTTATACACAATCTTACCACTAGATGTTTATTAAGATGAAGAACAGATTATTTAATCAGTGTCATTGTATAATATTATATTCTAATCTGTGATATCTAATTTATTTATCTAATCTAGATAAATATTTTTTTTTGCTATCTAAACATTAGGACTTGATTCCAAATATATTATATTATAGCTTCTCTTATTATAGTCAGATTTGGTGATGTGCTGGATTCTGCTGATACTGTAATAGAATACAGAACAGAAACTGGATTTAGGCTTAGCACTATGCAAAGTATCACAGAATCATAACACTGTAGAATTAGATTGGATTTTAGGGAAATCTAGTCCAGTGTTTCTCAACCTTAGCAACTTTAAGATGTGTATGGATTTCAATTCCCAGAATTCCCCAGCAATCATTCTGGGGCAACTTATGTTCCTTATGGATTGTCCTGAATTACCTGGAGCACGGGTATCAAACTCGATCATGTCACTTGACATATTGTGACCTATCACAACGTTTTTGCCTTTGTGGAGCCGGGGTGGCCGTGGCCTGCGTGTGACATATCTGGCCCATGAGCAGGCAGTTGACAGGCATGACCTAGAACAGTGATGGTGAAACTTTTCAGCACCGAGTGCGCGTGCTTGTTGGGGCTACAATCTGGAAGAGGAACTGCCGAGGGTGCATGTGTGCACCGGGAAATGAACTTCCGGTTTCCGGCATGCACATGCGCACCGGCCAGCTGGTCTTCCAGTTTCTGGCACGCATGCGCACGTGACAATCAGCTAGCCAGCACGCATACAAGGTCTTCTTTTCGGGGGAAACGGTATATATATATATTCATATATATATATATATATAGTTAATATTTCGGGTTTCTTCCCGTGTAATTGTGGATATATCCCTAAAAGGGTAGAAGCGACGTTTCAGCAGAATCCCATCTGCCATCATCAGGCTTATGTCAGCAGTCATTTTGCACTAACGGCCGTTGGCATTTCAAATCTGGTGCTGGTATTCTGGGATGGCTCCACCTTTTCATTCTGATTGGTTGGGAGTCCCAGTATGTGTTTATTGGCTTGGGTTCGGGTGTATGGTCGGTTTTTCTCCACTAGGTGGCAGGGCTTCATCTTTGTGGCTGGTTTGAATATGATTTGGTTGGGATTTTTTTGTTTAATGCTTGGTCCATGTCCCATATATGGTGTCAAGATTCGTCTATCTATGAGAGCAGGTTTCCAAATAGTAGGCAGACGTGAAGTGTCATCCCGTTTATTCATGCAATATGGTCTTTTTTCCATTTCTATTGCTTCTCTGATTATCCTGCCATTGAGATGTTCTACTTTTGCAACTGTTTTTGTTTTATTAAAATTAATGTTGTGTCCTGTTGTATTTATATGTTGAACTAATGATGATGTTTTAAATGATGTTGTGTTGTGGTTGGAGGTTTTTTATGTTCTAATTTCTTAAGTTTCTTTGAATGTCTGTAAGTTTTATGAGTGGTTTCTATTTCAGATCTCCAGGTGGCAAGCTGTTTTATTTTGTCCCTCCTCCAACCTCCAACCACAACACAACATCATTTAAAACATCATCATTAGTTCAACATATAAATACAACAGGACACAACATTAATTTTAATAAAACAAAAACAGTTGCAAAAGTAGAACATCTCAATGGCAGGATAATCAGAGAAGCAATAGAAATGGAAAAAAGACCATATTGCATGAATAAACGGGATGACACTTCACGTCTGCCTACTATTTGGAAACCTGCTCTCATAGATAGACGAATCTTGACACCATATATGGGACATGGACCAAGCATTAAACAAATCATATTCAAACCAGCCACAAAGATGAAGCCCTGCCACCTAGTGGAGAAAAACCGACCATACACCCGAACCCAAGCCAATAAACACATACTGGGACTCCCAACCAATCAGAATGAAAAGGTGGAGCCATCCCAGAATACCAGCACCAGATTTGAAATGCCAACGGCCGTTAGTGCAAAATGACTGCTGATATAAGCCTGATGATGGCAGATGGGATTCTGCTGAAACGTCGCTTCTACCCTTTTAGGGATATATCCACAATTACATGGGAAGAAACCCGAAATATTAACTATACACACATACATACCCGTGAAAACTTACGTAAACATATATATATATATATATATATATATATATATATATTGTGTTATACAGAATGCTTCAACATCAAAGCTTCTTCAAGCAAGACTATACGTATTTGCAGTGTAGTTTTGCACACACACACACATATATATCATATGAGAGAGAGAGAGAGAGATGATAAATATTCGTAATATATAGTATTTTACCTTTTCTGAAAAGTATTATTAACTATAGCATTGAAAATAAGGCGGTCACCGACAGTTGAAGGTCCTCGGAATTTGAACATATCTACAGATTTCAGAGTTGGATGCACATGACACAGGCGGCTGAATGAAAGCAAACAAAATAAAATACATATTTTTTATGGCAATGCAACTCTGTAAGATTTCTACATAAATACTGCACAAAACTGATTTTCAAGTTTAAACTAGCTCTGAAAAAATTAATAAAAGGTATTCAATGAGAAGTTGTGAAGTTTAAGAATTGTACTTTAATATTCATATTTGGGAACAATCCTGTATATTTTTTATAGATACAACATTACATTCTTTCTTAAATTTTAATGTAATCTCATAATTAGTCAATATTGCTAGGCTAATAAATCCATAGGGATTTTAATGAAGTTTTATTTGGGGCTGTTCCAAATTTATCAAGATTTACTGCATCTTTTAGAAATGTTGGGAAAAAAACCACCTGTTGTGGCCCACAGTGATTTACATAAAAATAATTTTTAAAAATTGGCCCAATGCCGTAGAAGATGTATTTTAAAGCCTACAAAGAGAAAGTGATATGGAAACAATGATATGGGAACTTCCCATGCAAATTTAAGTAGCCCAGCTGGAAAAAGGACAGCAACTCTAGGATTTTCTTTTTTCAATGCATATATTAGGAAACTAGTTGTAGCACATTACCAACTATGTTGCTCATTTTTTTTTCACTAATCAAGCTTCTTGAAAAATTCTGTGAAATCAAAGCAACATGTTGACAAATAAGGGAATTTGTCAGTAACAAATTCTTAAGTAGTGACTTACATCTGTATCATCAACGATCACACAATCACCTCTTTGTTTGTATTTTTACAAATACAAATGAAATCCTTTCATTTATATGTGAAAATAAATCTTCCATTTAGATTTATTTTAATACATAAATGTTCTATAACACTTTGGCTAAGAACTCAGTGTTTGTATGAGTCCAAAATTTTTAACCTTTGTTTAGCAATGACATTGTTTTGGGCCATTATTTATCCTTAGCGTAACTCAATTACCTCTTTATGATGTACCAGAATTGTTAAATGTGCACAATTATCTGTTTCTAATTAATTTAACTGAGCATCATTATAATGCATTCAAATTACTTTGGATTTCATTAGGAATAATTTGCTCCTCCTATTTAAATTGCTAAATATCTAATTTGCAATACTCACAGTTAAGGGCACCAGCAGATTAATATCAGACCAGATGTGAAGGATATATAGGTTTGTTGTCTATTTTGTTCTTAATGTTGTTATTGAAAATTAAAATAATTTTATTAAGGCAAGACTTCTGTGCTTTCGTATAGATCTTATTCTAAAAGATTATTTCCGGATCTAATGTTTGCTTAGTATTACAATAGTTAAAAATGAACAAAGGATAAAATTCCTCATCATGGCAATGGTCTTTTATTTGTACAGTAAGAATATTCTTTACAGGTCCCTAAACTGATCAGTCCTCTAGGGCAGATTTTAATGTTGGCAGAAATTACATGGCAGATGAGAAACTATTCTTTTTTATAGATGGTATTAGTTCCATCACTTGATAAACTGTGCTAGATATCATCCATAAACTTTAGATAAACCATTCTGAGTTTTAACTTCACTTTGTGTTTTGCGAACAGCCTTTTTAAAAACTAAACGGCCTCTTTTTATTCTTCGGCAGTGTGCGGCCATAGCAACTCTGCCACCTTCCAAAGGTCAAATCTAATTGTGAGTTGTTTTACAAAAGCTTTGCGGCAAGGTCATTTATTTCTCAAGCAGAATAGACAGTTTTTGGTTACCATTTAGCAATGTTTCTAATGTATTTCCATAAAATACAGTAGAATTTTAACCTTACTGGTTATGCTCCTTATTTTTCTTATTACAACTATTTAGTTTCTTACAGCTAAATATGACCCCTGTTTTGTCCGATCGGATGTATTACAGATATTTGGTGTATATGTTTACGGAGAAATGTTGCTTTCTTGGGTCTTTGGTGATTATAACCTTTGATAGATTTACAATTTTAATAAAATGATTTATTTATCTGGCAACGAAGCAAAAGCAGTTATTATTGCGTATAAGTTCAGGTTACGAATCAGAGCTACATGAATAATGAATGGGAATGACACATCCAACATCCTGACAATGAATCTGGCCCACTGGAGTGTGAAGGGAATTCTAATAGAAATTCATGTCTCTCACACACAAAGAAAGAGCTGCATGTACCCTGCAATTGGGGGAGGAGGATGGAATTCTCTGTGTGATGAGATGAACTTTCAGTGAGACCCTCCTTCCTCTTATTTTTCCCTAGTAGCCATTATTTCTCACTAAATGTGCCCGATAATATCTAATACAGAAGAAAGTTCTTTGAAAAGGCACCTTGCTGAAATAGTAGCCACTGTTTCCATCCAAGCCATAATTTGGCCACCAAATGTATTTCCTTGATGATTGGCATGAGGAGGCAGGACGAGTTCAATACTCTGCACATGAGTGCAATCGGTGTAAACCACATCTTTCTCTTTACTGCAGACATGATCTAGAACATATGACCCTGGTGTTAGGATAATTGCCAAGCACTCCAAGTACACATACATTTCAACTGAAGTTACAATGTTTTATTCTAGCACAGCTTTATTGAATTTCATAGACATCGATAACATTTGTATTGCATTAGAAAAATCCTATCACTTCCAAATTCTTTTAGAACAGACATTTCTCACGTGCACTATTATTACAGGAAGTTCTCCAGTTATGAAAGCAATTGGGACTGCAATTTCTGTGGCTAAACAGTGCTGCTGCAAAGAACAACATCACATGACCGCATCACTTAGCAACAGTAATCTTGTAGTCCAAGCTTCTGTCATAACTCCAAGACTATACAGGTCATTAAGTAGGAAGAGACAGGATCTCCAGATAATCAAGCTAGCAAGTGAAAGCTGTGGGTGAGAGCTCTGGGCAGGCCGGGCTTGCTGTGGTCAAGAGGGGGGTTGCCGATGGCAGGGATTCCGGAGCATGGGAGGGTGTTGTGGTGGGTACCAAGGACAGGCACTCCAGAGTGCAGGCAGAAAAACAGCACCAGGGAAACTTGGAAATCACAATCATGTGATTGCAGCTCACTGTAACATCATAATTGCCAGCCAGGCACTGAGCACCCATATCACACTCCTGTGATTATGGAAATATTGTGATGGTTGGAACGGCAAGAGCTGGTTGTAGGTCCCCTATGTTCCGTGCTTTCACAACTTTGAATGGTCACTGAATAACCCAAGGACTACCTGTATTGATTCTGATCTCTAAAAATGTCATGTTATATATCTTTAGAGACCAAATTGATTAGTTAGAATTATAATGGTATTTAAATGTATTTTAGAGATAAAATAGGAAAGAAAATACAGTATCTTTCTATTATCAGGAAGGAAGATATTCCTACTAAAAGTGTATGTTTTTGTTTTAAATGCCAGCCAGGCTAATCTGTCACATGATTCCACTTGACCTAAATTAAGCCTTTGGCTTCTGTCCCAGTTTCATTAGTTTTATAATCCCAGAGTTGTAGTTGGATCCACCTAACTGCCTTGCATTTTGGATTTACTTATCAGCCTATTAAATTAGTAATTTCAACAATATAATTGAGCTTTGCTTCTTTTTTAGTGAACTCTGTGCTCATTTTCAGCAAAGCAATCTTATCATTTGATAAATTCATCCTTACTTTATCTACTTTTTTTAGGATGGGCCCAATGCTTGTTTCAATAATATTCTCTTAAAAGTGAAGATCTGAAAATACATAAGCTGCTTTCTAATGATATGCCTTGCATAAACAAAGTGTGTATGGGGGTGGGGTGGATGGGGTGATTGTATAAGTTGAAAGAATGGGTTCTATCGTTTGTCTTGATTCTGTTTCAATGCATGCATTAATTATAAGTTCAGAAACACGTTGATGTTAGAGTATGGAAACGAAACAATGACTAGAGAAAGCAATAAGCTAATGGCAAGCTTGTCTATATTGCTCCTAGTTTTTGGAGATCTAAAGCAGGAATATCACCTCACAGAAGGGCATGTGGCTTTCCTTTATATCTTTTCATATTTTATATTTTTCATAAATGATACATTACACAATGCTGTGAGTTCCCAGGGCTTTTTCATTCAAACGATGCAGCCAAGGAACCACTGGAACTTCTCCCCATTTCAGAGAATTGGAAATGAGGAACATAACATTTGTTTTACTGACCATTATCCATGCCACATTTATCCATTAGATCATTTAATACACGTTCATGATCCAGTCGAATTTTTCTTCGCTCAGCAGCCAGGGCATGCTCTATGAAATCTTGCACAGTGAGAAGCTTGACTGGCTTTAGGTTAATCTAAATATTAAAAAAGAAAAGAAAACAGTATCAGCAAGTCATAGTAAAATTATATTATGAACCCATTAACAGTAAAAAAATTATTTCTGCCACATTATTTCTGTATCTGTAGTAGTACAGATTCTACTACATCTGTAATAAGCTTAATACTAACCTAAAATATTTACTAACCTAAAACCTACTAATCATTTAATAAACAATTTCTAATAATTTATACAATATTCTAAACATGAAAACAAAAATCATGAAAAAAAACCTAGAAATGCAAGATGCTAGGGATTATTCTACATCTTTAAACTCTATAACTCAGTTTGCTGCCCAGTCTACAATGTCCTTAAATAGTTGATTTCAATGATCCTCATTAGCTTTAGTGTACAGGTGATCCCCCAAACTATTTCCTTGCAATAAATGGAACTATGGAGATGTGAACAGAACTTGCACTCATTCATTGCCTCCCCAGATTTGCTCCGAGTGATTTTTCAGTGCTGTAGTGCAATGCTGCAGATTTTTAGAGATATCCAGGTAGACGAGAAAATGTAATTGCCTTTCCATTCTTTAAGCAAAAGCTATCCTAGCAGCACATATTGTTAATTGTATATTGTCCTAAACATTCTAGATTACCAAGATCATTGGCAATGGTATATGTGAAAATGGGTTCCTTTTTTAAAAATAAAAATTTAAATATGGCAGCTTAGGAACAATGCTAATAATATCTGCAAGCAAAATGAATGTTTTATATTAGTGAATTATATAAATACATTATTTCAAAAAAGGAATTGCTGAAAATAATACATGGCGCAAGAAAATATTTAGAAAAGGTACAATGAAGTTATTACTCAGAAGTAAAATTTTTCATTCTTTTATTGTCAATTTTAAAAAAAAGGAAACAGTAAATAATAATGGCTTTCTGGCAAGTTCACAAAGTTAGAAAACAGAAACATTAGAATTTTTCAATGAAATGTTTACCTTCTCTTTTTCTACTGGCCTTGCAACGTATGTAGAGAAAGCCACACAAATTAGTTTTTGAACATTAGTTAAGGGATCCTGTAATGTAACTCTGACACCAACCTATGTGCAGATAACAAAGCCATTGTTGAATTCTAGGCAATTACATAATTGTGAACAAGTGCATTAGTAACAACTATTCTTTTCATCTTAATGGAAATAAGAAGCCTTACTTTTTTCATGTATACATCATAATCCCAAGCAACTATGCGGCACTATTAGAATCCACATCCCAATCCAGACACCTGATGATGATTTTATCTCCCACATGGAAATCCCTCGGCTGCAACCTCCTTCTCGCCCACCAGCACTGCCGGTTGGAACTCTGAATGGCCCAGAACTCAGTATGGTGGCTGTGACAGGGATATGAAAAAGGAAACCCCCAGCTGCTGCCACCACTGTGGTGAAGGGGCCACCCCAATCTGGCTGCTCCCAGCTGGCCACGCCAAGTTGACCCATTCTATGCTGGAATTGTCACTGCTAAGCGGGACATTCACATGATAGCTAGACATTTGTATTTATTACAGTAATTCAATTTGTTTATTTAATCTTTATCACATCTTTTATTAGAGGTTTACTGCTGTAGCCTCTTAATTTTAACTGCACAAACAAGTCTTTATAGGACATAGGGCTGAGAATGACTGGCACAGAGTCACTTATAGACTAACTTCAGTTTCTATGTTCAACTCTTTCAACTTTGAAAAAAAATGTTTTATTTAAATATTTAGAGATTTAATATAATGCTGAATTTGGAAAATAAAGCTATTAAGAGTATGGAAATGAATGAAGAAAAAGCCATCTGTGATGGAATTTGCATGAATTCATTTCTTCCCTTGCTTCATCCTGCCTAAATATAATAAAATATAGTATTTCAACTTAAATAAATACACTTATCTCTTACCTCCATACTGGTAGTGAATGCCCTGTTTACCTTTGCTGTAATGCTGATAATCTGCCCAACTCTGTTTAAAAAAATCATATATAATTACAATATCCAAAACTGTAATGTACACCTATGTGTTTTGGAAATAACTGATATAGAAATCATATAATTTCAAATATCCTATCTTAATATTATGGCCAGAAGTGAAGGGGGAGTGGAAAAAGACTCTCTATGGATCTCAAAAGATTATTGTCCTTTTTCCTTAAATGTCAATGGCAGGAATACTGGCCAAGCAAACTCTTTTCACAATTAGTCGCACTTGAAGAAAGAATTTACAAGGGAGCCTTTAAATCTGAATTTAAATCTAAATTTAGAACTGTCCAGGTAACAACTCAATGCCTGATTGTTTTGTCCATTTAGCTTAATGTCATGAAAACTAAGTGGCAACACGTCTCCAAAACATTAAAATTTCCCACTTTGCATACTAACTGTTTCAGAGTTGGTATTCAGCAGGTTCTGACCAGTTCTGGAGAACCAGTAGCGAAAATTTTGAGTAGTTCGGAGAACTGGTAAATACCACCTCTGACTGGCCCTCCCCCTCTATTCTCTGCCTCCCGAGTCCCAGCTGATCGGGAGGAAATGGGGATTTTGCAGTAACCTTCCCCTGGAGTGGGGTGGGAATGGAGATTTTACAGTATCCTTCCCCTGCCATGCCCACCAAGCCACGCCCACAGAACCGGTAGTAAAAAAAATTGAATCCCACCACTGAACTGTTTGTTTTATCTGGTCCTAGAGCAGCAATCCCCAACGCTTTTGACACCAGGGACCAGCTTTGTTGGAAACAAGTTTTCCATGGAGTGGGAGATGGTTTCAGTTTTGCGCGCTCATCTGCTGCTCACCTCCAGCTGTGTGGCCTGGTTCCTAACAGGCCACAGAGCGGTACCAATCCATTGTGGCGTGGGGGTTGGGGATCCCTGTCCTAGAGATTGAAACTAGGAACCTTTGGAAACTGTTTACCAAGCCAGACTATTAGTCAATTTAGAATTTCAATCAGAAGTATTTGCTTCTCTTAGGGAAGGTAGGAAGTAATTTAGGACCTTGTTGAAGAATGCTTCAACAAAGGATTCTGTCATTTTCTAGATAGTTTATTATTTTTATTTTTATTTTATTTCCAATTTCTATACTGCCCTTCTCCCTGAGGACTCAGGGCAGTGTACAGCCAGAATTAAAAACATGCAATACAAATATTAAAAAACAATTAAAATATCTATAAATTTGGCCCAAAATTAAAAATCACTACCAATTAAAACATTTTAAAATTTCTTCTTAAGCCAGCCCGGCTTGCTGGAAAAAATGGATTTTAAGGGCACGGCAGAAGGCACTGAGGTCTTGGATTCTCCTTATCTCTGGGGGCAACTGATTCCAGAGGGTAGGTGCCCCCACAGAGAAGGCCCTCCCCCTTGGGGGTCACCAGCCTACACTGTTTGGCTGATGACACCCCGAGGAGGCCCTCTCTGTGAGACCGCACGGGTCGATGGGAGGTCGTCAGTAGCAGCAGGCGGTCTCGAAGATAGCTAGGCCCTATGCCATGGAGCGCTTTAAAGGTGACGACCAACACCTTGAAGCGCACCGAAGACCACCGGGAGCCAGTGCAGCTCACGCAGGAGCGATGTTACATGGAAGCGCCATGCTGCTCCCGTCACTACCCACGCTGCTGCGTTCTGGACCAGTTGGAGCCTCCGGGTGCTCCTCAAGGGGAGCCCCATGTAGAGAGCGTTGCAGTAGTCAAGGCGAGAGGTGACGAGGGCATGAGTGACTGTGCACAGGGAATCCCGATCAAGAAAGGGCCGCAACTGGCGAATCAGGTGAACCTGACAAAAGGTCCCCCTGGTTACAGCCGTCAGATGTTCCTCTAAGGACAGCTGCATATCCAGGAGGACTCCCAGATTACGAGCCCTCTCTGTGTGGACCAAAGACTCGCCCCCAATAGTCAGTGATGGAGTCAACTGGCTATATCGGGATGCTGGGAGCCACAGCCACTCAGTCTTGGAAGGGTTGAGCTTGAGCCTTTCTTCCCCATCCAGATCCGCACAGCCTCCAGGCACTGGGACATCACTTCAAGGGCATCATTGGGGTGGCCTGGGGTGGAGATGTACAGCTGGGTGTCATCAGCGTACTGGTGGTATCTCACCCCGAAGCCACAGATGATCTCGCCCAGCGGCTTCATATAAATGTTGAACAGAAGGGGCGAGAGGACCAATCCCTGCAGCACTCCACAGATGAGAGGCCTTGAGGTCGACCTCTGCCCCCCTGACAACACAAACTGCGACCGGTCAGAGAGAAAGGAGGAGAACCACCGCAACACGGTGCCTCCCACCCCGAACTCTTCCAGCCGGTGCAGCATGATACCATGGTCGATGGTATCAAAAGCCGCTGAGAGGTCTAACAGGACCAGAACAGAGGAGCAATCCCTGTCCCGAGCCCTCCAAAGATCATCAACCAACACGACAAATTTCCGTGCTGTGCCCAGACCTGAAACCCGACTGGAACGGATCTAGATAAGATGTTTTCTCCAGGAATTGTGGAAACTGTCGCGCGACCACACTCTCAACAACCTTCGCCATGAAGCGAAGGTTGGAGACAGGACGATAGTTGGCCAATATTGCCGGATCCAGGGATGGCTTCTTGAGCAGAGGCCTCACCACCGCCTCTTTCAAGGCAGCGGGGAAGTGACCCTCACTCAACGAAGCGTTGATAACACCCTGGAGCCAGCCTCGTGTAACCTCCCGGGAAGCCAGTACCAACCAGGAGGGACACGGGTCCAGTAAACATGTGGCCGCACTAAGTCTCCCCAAAATCCTGTCCACATCATCGGGAGTCACAGCATCAAACTACTCCCAGATAACATTCTCAAGACTATTCCTCGGCACCCTGCCCTGATCTACCCAGTCAGAGTCCAAATCCCCCCAGATCTGAGCGATTTTGTCATACAGGTATTGTCCGAAATCCTCCGCCCTGCCTTCCAAGGGATCCTCCACTAGTTAGTGTCACTTAAGGAACATTGCTTTTGTTCTCTAGAACCTTGGATCTCTGAAGAATGCACCTTATCAGAACAAACTACACAAATCCTATTTAATTCATTATGATACTTTATCCAATTATCTTCTGTGTATGTTTATAATCCAATTTCTATGTTGATATTTTTTATTTAAAATCAGAGACCAAACAGACAGATAAAAAAAATTGATCAAAAGACCAAATTCAATTCCAGTGCTTTCTAATGATGATCACTGTTGAAAAGAATTTATCTATTTACAAGAAAACACTGGATGGATCTAATTAAACATGCACTATCTCTTCCGCAGGTCATCCTAAACACTTAGGAAGTATTATTAACCCTGAGGGCTATTTGTTTCAATGTTGGGAGTGTACTGCTTGCTTCCATCACAACAAAAGTGCATGTTTTTAACACAGACCTTGGGAATTAGAATGCAAGGAACATTGCCCTGTCACAGACCATTGCATTTTCATTTGTGACTGATGAGAACCTTTTGAATGTAGCAGTCTGAGAGCTCTTGCTAAGGATCCAGGAACAAATGCAAGAGTCCAAAGTGCAAATATTTGTGCAATAAAAATATAAGAACAGGAAATGATTCTATAATGTAGGGGGAAAAGGCTCTATTTTCTTCTCTGAAAGGTTGAAAATTCCATGCTCCAAAAATACCAAACACAGCTGTCCTACATACGAAGTGGAATAGTACATAATTGGCCTAAATATTATATTATAGCCAATTTGCTACATGTATTGTGTTCATTTTTCTTGTGAAAAAGCATGTTTGGGTAGGATTCAGTTGTCCCAAGAATTTAGTAACATAATTATTTTTCAAATTTCTGAACCGGCAGCTCCTTCAGAGGGATTCTGGGCAGTATACAATAAAGTATATATAAAAACAGTACATAAAAGTTTAAAAAATTAAAAAGAAGCAAGGATAATAAAACACTGTTAAAATTACTTAAAATTACTAGCCACAGCTGCACTCCCCATTCAAGGCCACAGAGCCATGTTTTAATTCCTTTTCAGAAGGCCAGGAGAGTGGGAACCTGCCTTACAGTGGTGGGATTCAAATTTTTTTACTACTGGTTCTGTGGGCGTGACTTGGTGGGCATGGCATGGCGGGTGTGGCTTGATGGGTGTGACAGGGGAAGGATACTGTAAAATCTCCATTCCCTCCCCACTCCAGGGGAAGGTTAATGCAAAATCCCCATTTCCTCCCGATCAGCTGGGACTCAGGAAGCAGAGAGTAGACGGGGGCGGGGCCAGTCAGAGGTGATATTTACCGGTTTTCCGAGCTACTCAAAATTTCCGCTACTGGTTCTCCAGACCTGGTCAGAACCTGCTGAATACCACCTCTGCTGCCTTACCTCCAGGGGAAGAATATTACACAGGGTGGGGGCACTTTTCCAGAAATCTAAATTAAAGAACACACCTTTCATTTATAAAGAAAAAAATCCCTGTTTTGGAACATTTTTTTCTTGTTGTTGGCAAGTACATCCACCTGTCAAAGTAATGTAAATGAAGCGGGCTCTGATAGATGACCACTGGATAACTTTCTATTCACTCTATTCTAAAAAGCAATGCATCCGGTTGGAAAAAGTACAAACTCAGCCAAAATCCTTTTGGTACCTCTAGGAGGCCTCTAAGTTGTCAGAAGAAAGGAACATTCTAATGACATACAGCTTAAAGGTTGGTTAGGTCAAGGGGATCCACATGAGTTAAAAGTTGTCTATCGTCAGAAGATGATTTGAGTCTATGCTTCAGTAATCTACAAAAAGAATTATAACTGTTTTGCAAAGAAACTCAGTAATTAGGAAATGTCAATTAAAAATGACAAATGTATATGACCATATGAATTGCTGAGTTAACAGAATCCTTTGTCTAGAAGGGTATAAAACCATTGTACCTAATTTCTGTCTTTGTTCAATGCTTCATGTACAGAGCTTTGAACCTATTGCGCAATATACAAATTGTCTCTGATTAATCCAAAAGTTGTGTTTGTCTTATTAAATCCACAACAAAAGGAATCTTGGATATTAATTGAAATAAATCATTATTATCCTTTTAATCCAAACAAATGGCTTACAATTTGGAATGTAGTCTTGGCCTTTTGGTTAAGATCAAATGTAACATGTAGTGGATGCACTCTGTTTTTGAACATTTTGTTATTTTCCCACCTAGCATCAAATTGAAATGCAGTCACAAACCTTTAAGTGTTGAATTTTGTGGAACATTTTTAAAATTTGTTCTCATTTTCTTTCACTAAAGGTAATTATGCACAGCAGTGCTGCTGGGGTATTTAATCTTAGGTTCAATGCAATTGGAGATGTCAAAATAACTGAATCAGCCCTTTCCCCCTTTAAATGGAATGCAGTGCTACATCTGCTGGTTCTTCCTTGCAAATGTCTCTCCCAGCCCAGTTTGTTTTTCATTTCAAACCATTTGGAGGAAATCAACTGGAGACCATTTACAGGGAAAATAACAGAAAATGAAAGTAAGAAAGAACTTACTTTCTTTAGGACATGAAAGGAAGCAACTATTCCTTGAACAACCACATTATAAATTCATGAAGCATGTACAAGAAATGTGACAATTAATGACTTTTTAATTTATCAATAATATTCATTATCAGATCAAAAAATTAAGAATTAATACCTTTCTAAAAATAATTTAAATTTAATGTTAAGAATTAAACTGTAAGAAACAAAACAAATTAAGTTGCAACTCTCAGATTTTCACAGTAAATGCTTTATTTACTGTTAAGAGTAGAAAAGATCAATATATTGTATCTATAGAAATTTAAATTTTCTATTTTCTTATAATGCTTTTGCAATGAATCATATTCCTAAAGTGCCAATTATATTTCTATGTTTATATATACTGATTAAAACTACGGTATTAACTAACAAACTATAGTAAAGCTTGATAAAATTAAGATCTACCTGGCTGTCTCTTCAAACTGTATGTCATCCACTGATGCTGTTACACAGGGAATGCCAGCATGTTTTTCAGCTTAGAAGAAAATAGAGTTTATTGGAGGTAAAATTAAGTACTGGGAAAAAAAACAGCTTATTTATTTATTTTATTTATTTGTTTGTCAAACACGTATAAGATAACAGATATAAGTATAAACATGATCATGAATACAGTATAAGGATACGAATAAATGGGGACAGTAGGACAGGGACGGTAGGCAGGTTGGTGCGCTTATGCACGCCCCTTACTGACCTCTTAGGAATGGGGTGAGGTCAATAGTAGATACATCATATAAATTTACATCATATAAATATATCATATAAATACATCATATAAACAGTAGATACATCATATAAATTTATATTAGCATCCATTAACTTTTAAGCAAGATTATTTTACTATTTTAAGATATTTTTAGAAAAGATATCGAAGAATGCATTGTTGTATGATTGTTTGTCCAATATAAAATAATCCAGTACTGAAATGCAGCATTCAACTTTTATGAGAGTAACACTTATGCATTGAGGCATCTCTGCACAGACATGCCAAGAACTGTGTTATTATGTCTGTATGGTAAAATTTAAAAATTATGTAATGTTTGTATAATACTAATGTTAAAATGATGAAGAAACTGTTCACACCCTTGAAGCTCAGATAAAATGACCACTGGACTGAATAATTATAATTTCTGTCTTTTTCCCCCCCTCTCCATGCAGTTTACATAAAAATTGGGATGGCAAACCAGCTCATGATGTGAGAGTTCCCTGACTGCAGATAAAGGAATAAACTTCCTTCTTCCAAGTCAGACGACCGCCTTACTTATCACAGCATTAGATTTCAGAAACCTTATCTGCGCCCTGAGATACCTTTGTTGAACCTGGGAGCTGATATGGGAAAAGCAAGCCGTCACCTGTTATTATGATATGCTTCTTTTTTATTCCTATTAAATAACTAAGATTGATCCAGCAGCACACAAATATAATACGCAAAAACAAAAAATATACTCTGCTTGGAAAAAAATATTGCCATATTTTTTATCATGATTTTTAAATTAGCTTATATTCTAATTTCAATTTCAATTCATTCAATGGAGTGCTTCAGAATGCTTCCTTCCATTTCTAGATTCCCAGAAAACATCAGTTATACTAGATATATACTGTATAAACATATATTATATATAGATAATATATATATATATATTTAGATTATAGATAGATACCATGTTTCCCTGAAAATAAGACCCTGTCTTATATTTTTTTTGAACCCTGAAATAAGCGCTTGGCCTTATTGCCATGTGCTCAAAAGCCCAATTGGGCTTATTATCAGGGGATGTCTTATTTGGGGGGAAACAGGGTAGATAGATAGATTATAATTTTCTCTTCAAAACCAGAATTGAGTAGGAAAGAATGCTTAAAGGATTAAGACTTCATTGTACTGAAGAACACCTAAATACTGTCAAAAATAAAGTTTTTGGGAAACGATTTACAATGTTTGAATCATGTACTGTATTGCACAAATTACCATAAAACTGGGTAAGCAATTTAAATATTACACATTTTTTAAATATTTAAATGAGGTATTGCCTTGGAAGGCTGAGTAGAATAAATTAGGAACAAGTAAGACAATTATGAAATCATAAAAGAACAACCAGAATTAAAACTGTTGTATGGGAAAATCTTTTCCTCCATTCTGCTTAAAATAGAAATTTAGGATGCCTACTGTGTAAGTCCTTAGAAACACACAAATCCAAATCTGCAAAGGATTACTGGGGCTTTTCATTGGAACACTTGCTAATTGGAACTCTTCCTCATGAGTGTAAATGAACTTGCACTCAATTAAAGCTTCTATTTATAAGGTCCTGCTCAGTTTTTGTAAACATCTCTCTCCAAAGAAGTACAAATTCTTGGTTAGTTAAGGTTTGATCCAACCAAACAATTATAAATATGCCTGATATAACTTTTTAGATAAATATATTACTTCCTAGAATAACAGAGTTGGAAGGAACCTTGAAGGTATTCTAGTCCAAACCCCTGTTCAGGCAGGAAGCCCTATATTTCAGACAAATGGTTGCCCAATCTTTTCTTAAAAACTTCACAGTGCTGAAGCATTCACAACTTCTGGAGTCAAGTTGGTCCACTGATTGTTGTTTGACATCTAAGGAGCTAGAAGAATTTTTAATTTGCATACTAGAAGGAAAAAGAGCCTTATATAATAGCAGCTAAGTTCTTGATTTGATATGGCAGGTTGATTCTGAACCATGCCTATCAAAGAGAAGAATTGGGGGGAGGGCACATCACAACTGCCTTCTAGAACTTGAGGTGCTGTCACAAAGAAAAGGGGTTTACTTATTCTCCGAAGCACCAGAGGAAAGGACAAGAAGTAATGGGTGGAAACGTTTTAAAGAAATATCCAACCTAAAGAAAATTTCTGACAATGAGAACAATTAATCAATGGAATAGCTTGCCTTCCAGAGTTGTGGGTGCTCCATCACTAAAGGTTTTCAAAAAATCTTCAGTGGACAACTATTTGACCTGAACAACCATTTGACCTGGATGACACTGGACAACCATTTGACAAGGATGGTATAAGGTCTCCTGTCTTGAGCAGGATATTGGACTATAACACCTCGAGTTCTCTTCCAAAACTATGGTTCGATATTCTATGAAGTATTTAATTATGTTTTATAAAGCCTACAAAGCATAAACATCTTAAAATTACAATGTAAGATCAAAGCAGCAGCTTAGCATAGATATAATCAAATCTCTGTTGAAAAACTGTATGGGTAAAATGTGAGATCAAAACACAAAGCAGTCCAAAGAAATCAATGTTAAAAATAAATAAATTTAATGGAGCTAGAAACTGGAATTAGTGGGTTTGCACTAAAAATATTCCAAAATGAAGAAAAATTCTTAAAAGAATAATTGTCATAACAGCTTACTTATTACTGGTATTCTTCATTTCCTTCTACATTGTTGTAATAGATTACATATTGGTTCAAAGAAGCAGCCATAAAATTAATATACAGTTAGCATTCTGCAATTCAGAATGGGGGCCTGTGCAGAGAGTTGAAAAAGTCAAGAAGTAGAAAACATGTTTTCTGTTGAATTATTATGATAGGTTGCATAGTCAGCCAGAAATTTAGTCTGGATCTGGCTTTTTTTTTTTGTCCACTATCAAGTCCTTCCCAAGGACCTGGGGAGGCAGATGTTTCTATTTAATAATTTTAAAGGTATCATCAACCATCATAAGATGTAAGCTGTTCCTAGCAAAACTGCTTTTTGCAATTAACTGGTGATTTTGTTAATGTGCATTGGGCTAGAAAGTGGGAAATCATGTGTTCAAGTCCCATCTTAGCCATGAAAGCCAGCTGGATGATGTTGGGCCAGTCACTCTCTCTCAGCCCAACCCATCTTATAAGGTTGCTGTTATGGGAAAATAGGAAGAGGAAGGTGTGTTGGATATTTTCACTGCCTTGAGTTATTTGCAAACATAATAAAGTCAGGATACAAATAAATAAAACGGCACAATTTTATTATTTTTTATTATATTTTTATAATTTTTTATTCCTGCAGTTTTTATCCAATTAAACTATCAGACATTAAATCAGCATTCTCCAATCTAGGGACATGCATATGAACTGGGACTGCCGTTCCAAGATGCACCAAGCAACCAAGATAAACCAACGTGCCTATAATCTGTTAGTAATGGTTAATAATGGTTAAGGACCAAAGTTGCAAAATACTATAAAGGTAAAGGTTCCCCAGGACATGCGTGCTAGTCATTTCCATCTCTAGGGATGGTGCTCATCTCTGTTTCTAAGCCGAAGAGCCAGCGCTGTCCAAAGACGTTTCCGTGGTCATGTGGCCAGCATGACTAAACAGCGAAGGTGCACGGAGTGCTGTTACCTTTCCACCAAAATGGTCCCTATTTTTCTACTTGCATTTTTTACGTGCTTTCGAACTGCTAGGTTGGTAGAAGTTGGGACAAGTAACGGGAGCTCACTTTGTTACGTGGTGCTAGAGATTTGAACCGCTGAACTGCAGACCTTCTGATCGACAAGCTCAGCATCTTAGCCACTGAGCCACCACGTCCCTCTAAATATCAACAGGTAAACTTACTGTTGCTGGGTTCTTAAAAATATGTTTGAAAAATAAAGTTTCCTCATACAGTATAGAATGTTCTTTAGTCCAGCTATTATTTCATTAATCCAATGGTAAATTATTATTTGGATTGCCCAGAAAATTATCAGGGGCTTTATACTATATATTCCAGGATGGGTAGGTAGATAGGTAAGTTACATTCATGGTAAACTTTAAAATAATCGTAATCGAAAGACTGAAGAATTACTGATAAACCCCACTTAAAATTTATGAAAAACAGAACTACTACTACTATCCACAGGAATTTAAGCAAGAATCCCTTTAGGTTGACTCAGCCTTCCATCCTTTTGAGGTGGGTAACATGAGGACCCAAATTATTGGGGGCAATATGCTGATTCTGTAAACCGTTTATAGAGGGCAGTAAAGCACTATAAAGCGGTATATAAATCTAAGTGCTATTGTTATTGCTATTGCACTAACTACCGTAACTATAATAGTAGGCAAATATATATATATATATATAGAGAGAGAGATTTTCTGCTGTGTTCTTCTCCCGCCTGCCCATTGAGCCTACGGGTTTTGCAGCTGCAGAAAAACCCCGGCGACCCCGCAGATGGGGTCCCCAATGCACGTCGCTCTAAGAAGGAGGTGCCCCCGCGAGAGGAAAGAGAGGCTCGCGCTTACCGGCCAGGCACGCCGTGGTATCGATCCACTTGAGAAGCTGGCCGGGGCTGAGGTCGCCGAGGTGGTTCGTGTGAGCGGGAAGGAGAGTCTGACACATGTGCACTTGCGCGCTCGCCATGGCACCGTCTCTGTCGTCGGCGAGCGTCCCTTTGCCGCGGCGGCTCTGAGGGCGAGAAACGGCCGGAGTTTCGCATTCCCTCCCCCGGTGCTGTGGCGCTCACGCGTGATTGAATGTGCCCCGGCGCGCTCCTGCGCCTCTTACGCAAGACCGGCCGCACCGTCCAACTCGGCTGTTCGCTTTTGCCACGGGTGGAAGGAGTGCGGCGGTTTCACCTTTCCCCTCCTTCTCGAGCTGTGGCAGGTAGCTGCGAGCGAGGTGTGGCTGCGTCGGTTCAGCTCCTGCGAAATAATTAGAATGAGAAATAGCGAGGTGAGGCGCATCATTGAAGCCAGTCGATTTCAGCTGTTGCGCTGCGTGACTGGAATTGTCTTCTCCAACCAGAAGCCTTTCAAGTATGTTCCGAGGCCTGTTAGCACAACTCCAACGCAGGCTGTATGGGAGATTAACAGAGTTGGAAGGGTCCTTGGAGGTCTTCTAGTCCAACCCGCTGCTCAGGCAGGAAACCCTACACCACTTCAGACAAACGGTTGTCCAATTTCTTTTTAAAAACTTCCAGTGTTGGAGCATTCACAACTTCTGGAGGCAAGTTGTTCCACTGATTAATTGTTCTAACTGTCAGGAAAGTTCTCCTTAGTTGTAGGTTGCTTCCCTCCTTGATTAATTTCTATCCATTGCTTCTTGTCCTGCCTTAAGGTGCTTTGGAGAATAGGTTGGCTCCCTCTTCTTTGTGGCAACCACTTAGATATTGGAACACTGCTATCATGTCATCCCCTAGTCCTTCTTTTCATTAAAGGTACTCAAGTTTGTAAACCCAATATTTCTGAAGAGCTCTGTCCAGAGAAAAGCCTGGTGTAAAGTCCACAAGTTGAAAGTCAGCCTTAGGAAAATGACATGTATGGTTCTTTTTTTCCTCAAGGATCCCATCCAAGATTCTTAAATACCAGAGTAAGGAATTAAGTAAGGAATTTCCAGGGTTTTTTTGGCCATCAAGCCAGATTGTTCCCATGCCAGAAGTCATCAAGTAAGCCTAGAAAAAAATGTGTAAGGCTGATACCTGCTCAAAGGAAACACATGGAATGTTGCTCAATGTGTCACAACTTGGTAGCTTTAAACTGGAATCTTTTGTATTTCTTGTCTTCTGAGGGACACCCCATTGATTTCATGCCTAAGGCAAACTCTCCATCTCTAGGCTTTTTCAGTGAAAATTAGGCTGCACCATATACATATTTATCTGGGAGCAAGTCTTATAGAAATGTAAGAAATGTTATGGAGTTCTACAAGCTTTATTCCAAGATAATAGGGTATATAGGATTGCAGGTTTATGAGATTAAAAAGAAACAATCTTAAATATAACTATTATATCTAGGATGCTTCTATCAAGACATCAGGCATTGTTCATTTTGTATTTGAGATTTCTTTTAGTTTTGTTCCTTCAAATGATATGCATCTATAAATTAGGTGTTTTTAATACAAAAATAAGAGTAACTACAAATACCTCTTGGCAAAATATTTGCCACATTTCAAAAGAAAGGGGGAAAATCAATAAAAAAACTTGTCAGACAATAGCTATTGCAATATAATATGCCAGCTCTTTTAAAAGCAGACTAAATAAACAGACCACTTACTACATTAATTGCAAAGACATGGAAGTTTTATCCAAGATGAATGTCTCCTCAGAACAGGATTTATAGAATTGCTTTATTTCAGGTAAAGTTAAGGAACTTGTAGCAGAGAATTAGTATATCAATAATTAAATAATATCAAAATAACTTAATAAAACATTAATAAATATTAATACTATAATCTAATATGTAAAAAATATCTGTCAATCAATAAAATGCAATTATATCAACAACAATATCATACATCTCAAATGTATACAAATCTTCATTCAAGCATTCCAAAAGTCTTTGTAAAGCCAGTTAGCTGTCCAGATGTGGAAAACCCACTTAGGCTTAGGGTTAGGGTTAGGTCTCCATGAACTTCGGAGAGCAAAATTAAGAGCCTTGGTGGCGCAGCAGACTAAAACCACTGTTAAGTAACACCAGCTGCCTGCAATTACTGCAAGTTCAAATCTCACCAGGCTCAAGGTTGACTCAGCCTTCCATCCTTTCGAGGTAGGTAAAATGAGGACCCGGTTTGTGGGGGCAATAAACTGACTTTGTATAAAAAGGAACACCGCTTGGGGGGGGGGGAAGCCCTACTAAGCAGGTATATACAAAAGTATGAAGGCTATTGCATAACGCATTGTAAGCCGCCCTGAGTCTCCGGAAAAGGGCGGCATATAAATCGAACCAATAAATAAATAAATAAATAAATAAATAAATAAATAAATAAATAAATAAATAAATAATAAATAAATAAATAAATAAATAAATAAATAAATGGATGGATGGATGGATGGATGGATGGATGGATGGATGGATGTATGTCACCAACAGATTCCCTGCGCATCTGTATGAGTAGGAGGGCATTGATTTTTACGTCTGTCCAATCTACGTTTCCTGTTAAAATACATGGGGAAATTCCATTAGAGGGAAAACACACAGTGTTAGAGACAGGTTCCATGAACTCATGAACTCAGAGGGCAAAATTTATCTCCAATGGATAACTACTGCATGCAATGCTTAAGAGGGTGGAGACTTTTTGGGTCAGCTCTATCTACATTTCCTGGCCAAATATATGGGAAAATCCCTTTGGAAGGCAAGTCCATTTAGGATTAGGTTTCCATTAGCTCAGAGAGTAAAATAGATATCACCAATGGATTCCTAGTGCATAGATATGATTAGGAAGGTGGAGACATTTGCAAACCATCCTCATATTGTTTCCCGGTAAAAGTCATGAGAAAGTCACATTGGGAAGAAAACCCATTTAGGGTTAGGGTTAGGTCTTCATGAACTCAGACAGCAAAATGGACATCACCAGATTCCTAATCAGTATATAACTGGTCATTTTCATTCTTTTAGAGAGTTGTTGAGGCCACTTGGAAGTTTATCTGTGTCCTCAGGGTCACCTGAGTAGTGCAAATTGGTGTGGAGCCTTCTTGGTGAAAAGACTGTGTTTTAGACAGGAGATAAATAGTGCCATATCCCCCCCTCTGTTGACAGGGCTGTTCAATTTTGACATAGATGACCCCTACCAGCAGTCCTCTCTATCCAAAATGTGCACCTTGCTGTCTTCAGAAGAGTGGCCTTTGTCTTTTAAACAAAGACAAACCACCTTTGGGACAACCATGACCTGGATAACTTAGAATCTCCATAGACATCTGGGAAAATCCCATTTTTGGGAAACCTCACTTAAGGTGAGGGTTAGGTCTCCATGAACTCAGAAAACAAAATGCATGTAACCAATACATAGGAAAATACATGGGAAAATCACATTGCAGGGGAAACCCACTTAGGGTTAGGGTTAGGTCTGCATGAACTCAGGGAGCAAAATGATGTCACCAATGGAGTCCTAGGGCAAAATAGGCCTTCTATGTCTTTCCTGTAGAATACATGGGAACATCACATTGTAGGGAAAAACCGTTTAGGGTTGGGTCTGCGTGAACTCAGGGAGCAAAATGGACATCACCAATGGATTCCTAACACATTGGTAAGATTAGGAGGAGGGCCCGAACTTTTTGAATCCATGTTCTATATCTTTCCTGGTAAAATACAATGAAAAATCCCATTGGAGGATATATCCACTTAGATATAGGTGTCCATGAACTCAGAGAGTAAAATGAATGTTGCCAATGGATTCTTAGTGCATTCGGAGAAAAAAACCACTTAGTGTTAGGTCTCCCTGAATTCAGAGAGCAAAATGGATGCTGCCATTGCATTTCTTGTATGATAAGGAAGGCAGAGACTTTTCCAGTTCACCTTCTATATCTTTCCTGTTTTTAGGGTTAGAAAGATCTTCATGAACCATAATGGATGTCACCAACAGATTCCTAATGCATTGTTATGATAAGGAAGGCTGAAATTTTCCCAGGCCACCTTCTAAATCTATCCTGGTAAAATACATTGGAAAATCCCATTGGGTGTAAACTCCAGGGTTATGGTTAGATTTCTATGAACTCAGATAACAAAATGGTTGTCACCAACGGATTCCTAATACATTGCAATGATTAGGAGAATGGGAAAATTTCCAGCCTGCACTGTATATGTTTGTTGGTAAAATACATGGAAAAAACCCATTTGAAGGTATATTGATTTAGGGTTAGAGGGTAAGGTCTCAATTACCTTGAAGAGAAAAATGGATGTAACCAACAGATTCCAAGCACATCGGTATGATTATGTGGGTGCTGACTTCTCCACCCTCTATATCTTTCCTGATATTTATTTATTTAGCGTATGGTTGGTCACACACAGTATTAAAACACTTCATTTTTACAGGTTAAGAACAATTAAAACAATAAAAAAACAGTAAGAAAATCTAAAAGGAAAACAGAAATAACATTTCAAAGTTTAATGTCGAGTTTGGAGATCCAGTCAGTAGCTGCCGTTGTTATGCAGAGGAAGTCCCTAGAATTTCCTGATAAACTTTATGGGAAAATTATATTGGAAGGAAAATGCACTTAAAGAGTTAGGGTTAGGTCTTCATGAACTCAGAGAGCAAAATGCAAGCCACCAATGGATTTCTAGCACATTGATATGATTAGGAGGGTGCACACTTTTCGTGGGAGGAATTTATAGGTAATCCTAACCCTAAGTAGATGTCCATTTTGCTCTCAGAGTTCATGGAGACCTAACCTTAACCTTAAGGTTTTTTCCCCCCACCAATGGGAATTTCCCATATATTTTACCACGAAAGATATAGAGGGCGGTCTAGAAAAGTCTCTGCCCACCTTATCATACAAAAACACTCAGAATCCATTGGCAACATTCATTTTTGTCTCTGAGTTCATGGAGCCCTAACCCTAAGTGGGTATATCCCCCAATGGGATTTTCCATTGCATTCTACCAGGAAAAATATAGAGGGCGGGCTCGAAAAATTTGGACCCTTCTAATTAGGCTGGTGCATTAGAAATCCATTGGTGACACCCACTTTCCTCTCTGAATTCATGGAGACCTACTCTAACTCTAAGTGGATATAGCTTCCAATATGATTTTCCCATAAATTTTCCCAGGAAAGATATAGATGGCAGAATGGAAAATTTTCCACCCTCCTAATCATACCAATGTGTTAGGAATCCCTTGGCAATGTCCATATTGCTCCCTAAATTCATGCAGACGTAACCCTCAGTGGATTTTTACGGCAATGTGGTTTTTCCATGTATTTTAACAGGAAACATAGAGGGCAGCTGGAAAAGTCAGAGCCCTCCTAAT